GACTTTCCAGATGATGAAAAGCACGGGGCAGAAAAGAGATGAAATAAGGGCAGAAGCATTTCCGCCCGTGTTCAGTCACGCAGACCTGGATACAGTACTGTATCTGGGGCGACCGTTGGTAAATGCGCGGTTGCTTCGCCTAAATAAAGAAGGAAGAGGTTCATTTCGTGGTATCGTGGTATTCGCCATTGCGTTCTGCTGCTCTAAGAAAGCCTTGATGTGTTTTAACTGCTTCTACCCCGTTGTATCCAGGGTGGTTTGTAACTGCAATCCACGTGCTCCATCCAAGTTAAAAAAAAATCTCGGATGGAAACGAAAATACAGCTGAGTTTTTAAAATGAATTCACAGACCTTGCCAATGCTTAGTGACTTGAAGGGTTCAGTTTTTAAAGCGAGCAAAATATTTTAGCAAACAATTTCCGAATTATGTTGCTGCTCATTGCCATTTTATTAGTCTTGAGTGAGACGAGCTCAAACTTGATCCATTTGGGTGCATTGTTTCAGCAGCTTGGAAGATCAGGGGCAGAAAGAAGATATTTCTATTGTTTAATTATTGGGATTAGAAACAACATTTACCATAGCAAAGGGGTCATTTTGCAAGATATTCCTTAAATCCTGAACAATCAAAACCAAAAATTTCTGCTTTATCCAAACTGTGGATTATCCGATTGCAGAATCCTCTAGCAGGTATTTAGCAATAAATCTGTTCCAGAGCCTCATTCAAAATTATAATTTAATGAACAGTTGCCTGGGAGTGTTATGACACTGAACATAGTGGGATTTATTAATAAATGCTTTGGACTTGATTTTATTATTCCTTGGGTGAAATCAGGGATTTCATGTTTCTCCAGGCAATGTGTTTATCATTTGAGGTTTACAGTTTTAAACTTGGTTGTCATTAGCGATATATTACTATTGTAGCATTAATCCTTGTATACCACCCAGACATCTTATCTGTTGGAGATAGGCAGTTAATGTAAATCATATCAATAAATGACATTCATTTGCCTCAGTGTGTAACAAGAGACTACTGGTTTTGTTCAATGTTATTCTTAACTACATACTTTAAAAAAAAAGGAGATTAGCTCTCTTGACTGTTGTAGGAAAAGAAACAGAAAGTGCCAGAAGGTTATCTCAATCAGCCGAGCTTGCAATAAATAGCTTGGGCCAGACATGGATTCCCTCTTGAGAAAATGAACTAAACTATCCTCTGTACAGCAGGAGGTGCAAAATGGAAATATTTGGATTTTCTTAATATTCTGCCCTTATCTTTCAAGCCATTTATGTTTTTCCTAACAGCTTCAGTGTTAGGAAACAGACAGATGTTCTACAGTTCACCAGATCTTTTGAAGTGAAGAGCACATTTTGCAAAATGATTGGGAGAGGGAGCCTATTTGTGAACAGCATCTGCGTTGGAGAACTTAAAACAGGCAAGATGAGAGATGCAGTCCAAACCCTGCCACTTGTTTATGCAAATTGGCACATATACAAAATGGATGTTTAAAGTCTGGTGTTCGTTATGTACAAAATAGTATAAAGTAACACCAATTCACATTTCCAATTGCTTTAATTCGCCCTATGCTGACAAGCCTATATCTGATCTTTACTATTTCATTAGATAGGAAAATACATGACTTAGAGAAAAACAATACAAATTTTAAGTTAAGGCAAGAAAAGGAAAACTAATAGAAAAGTGAAAAAGATAGAAAAGGAGGAAAAAGAAGAATAAATAATTTCTGCTCTTTTTAACAGCTGTTATATGTACATTTATATTTTACTGTTCATTCTTAAAGTTGTATAATACAGGTAGTCCTTTTCTTAACTCACTTGCCCTAAGCCTTCCAAGGCTTCCCCCACCCTCTGAGGCATCTCGTGCTCCACTTCCTGCTCTTTAAATCTCTAGATATCTTAGCCTCAAGGGAGCCTAAAGCTGAGCAGCAGATGCTACTGGGACCTACAAGGCTGTAAGAGCTTGTAGACCGAGATCATCTTCCCATTCTGTAGACACTCCATTTATTTTGAAGTTTGTGGCGCTTCCTTATAGAACTGAGCTACCTATAGGACAATAGAAACTGCTTGCAGAATAGTACGTGGTTACCATGAGGCAGCCTCTGCAAAACAGCTGAGCCTTGCATTACATTGACCAGGTGCCTCCCTACAAAAAAACAAAGATGATGCATGCTGTTGGACCCTGGATCTGCTTGAAGAGCAGGCTGAATCCTGCAGGTCCCCGGGTGGCTGAATGGGAAAAAGGCCTTGGCCTACAAACTCTCATAGTCCTGCGCAAACTGGTAGCGTCTTCTTGTCTGGCTTTAGGCTCTTTGAATGGCTGAGTGGGAATACAGCCTTAAGTTGCAAGCTCTCACAGTCCTGCATGCACTAGTAGTATCTGCTACTTGTCTTTCAGCTCCCTTGAGTGGCTGGGTTGGGAGCAGATCAAAGCCTGAAGGGACTGAGCGGGATGGGGAGAGATATGGGGGTGGGGTGGGGGGCTCTGCAGCATCTCTGTGGTTGGTCGTAGAGATGAAGAACGGTGCGAGGACTGCAGTGGCCATAACTTTGAAACTGGGGTGTTAGTAGCTTTTGGAAACAAAATCACAAAACTGCATCTCACTTATTTTGGCCATATCATATGGGGGAATTGCCTGGAGCAATTATTTCTGGGAGAGTTGGTGCCTGGACACCATTAAAGCAGACACCAGCCACAGCATAGAAAAACTCAAAAGAAGTAAGGCATGAGCAGAAGATGTGGAGAGACCTGGCCCATACAATCAACAAGAGATAGGATTGAATTCAGTGGTGAGATTCAAATAATTTAACAACCGGTTCTCTGCCCTAATTATTTCTTCCAACAATCAGTTCACCAAACTGCTCAGAAAGTTAACAACCAATTTTCCCAAAGTGGTGAGAACTGGCTAAATCCCACCACTGGATTGACTGTATATTGGATAACATCATGAGTAGTTGTTGGAGTATCTATCATAACTTCTAAAGGATGCTAAACAACTTGTAGTAATTCAAGAACCCCCTGGAAAAGTCTCCTTTCCCCCCATAATATACTCTTTCTACTTATCAAATCCATAGATCCATTTTCTTTTTTCAAAATCCATAAGAGATTTCCAGTCACAACTAAATGTAAGAATCGCCGTTACTCTAAGTAAATTTTGTCATTATCTGCTCATTCTGTCATCTTCACCAACTATTCCTCCATTGGTAGTATTTCAGAATCTTTCGACTTTTATGCATATAATGGTTTCACAGCAGTGTTCACATATAAAAAATCTTCCATGGTGTGACATTTAGTTTTTTAAGATTAAATTACTATTTTAGGTTCAATTAATTTCAGCAAGTAGCAGTCACTTAGCTGGGATCCAACTCATTGTCTCTTTTTTCCCTAGCATATTTATACATTTCCAAATTCAGTGACTGAATAAAAAGAGTTAATAGTTTTCCCCTTAAATAGTTTAACGTTCTCCTTAACATCATTGCTAATGTTTCAGATTCCAGATTTTTATAGAACACTAGAAAGTACTTCAGATGTTGCATTGTTTACACAATTTTGCAAATGAATCCCCCAGGCTAGGAAATAGTTTCACATGATCTCCTTGGTATACAGCTCTCTTCCCATGACTTTTTATTTGCTGAACTGAATAAGATTTGTCACAGGGCAGAGCACATATATTAACTGTATTAGCTGACTTTCTCAATTATTTCATTTAGCAATTTCAGGATATTTGGAACAATTTAGCAGGAAATTCTGGACCAGAACAGCAACATTTAGCTATTCTTATTTTGGGTTTGTTATTTATCCAAAGTTGGTTTTGTCCTAAGGCAGGACTTCATAAATATTTAAGATAATAATGAATGCATTTGGACC